TTTGGGTCGTGCTGTGTTTTGAAGAGCTTTGTGTTTTGAGAAGTTTTGAAAAGCCAAGCTTTGAAGATTGCAGTTTAATTAACCCGAAGTCCGATGGTCCAGTGCCCAGCTTTCATCGTATATTTGTTGTCCCTGGTCATTCCAGACCATTTTGCAGCTTGTGAGAAGCATTTGTTTGTTTTGCAGTGTTTTTGAGTAAAGTTCCAGCCCCAAAACTTTTAAAGGAGATATAATATTCAGTGATATCAGGTACTCTTTTTTTTCGTAAACATTTTTTAAAGTAAATATTTAAATAGTTACCGCTACAAAATGTCGCGCAAATAGGGTCCCCAACGCCCAGAGTTGTAAACCGAAAGCGCCATTGTAAGTCGTTTTTTTTTGTATTTTGTTAATATTATCTGTATTTGTGTAACTGTTTGTGGTGACACATAAATAAATGTTAAATTTTGTTGTCTTAACATTTTATTTTTTTTTTTTGAGCTAACCCTTTTTAAGTTTATTTGAAAAAGATATGTTTTTTATGTTTTGATTTTATTTTCTAATTATTTCCCTAGTTACAACTAGTGGTTGTAATAGGCATAATTAGGCACCTCAAGTGGCGCCCTATATTAAATTCCTTGAGGTGTTTCTTGTTTATTTTTATTTTGTTTATCCCAAGAGCCCCCCATTTTACTTATCCACGACCCCAGCTCTCCTACGAAACCCTGAGTGTCCGTTCGCACAAGTAGCGATTATTTTGCTTGCCCTATCTCCACCCCCAATAGTTTTTTCCCCCAATTTTCTACCTTATATTAATGCCCCTGTGGTAGGCAAAATATTTTCGTTACAATTAATTAACCTTTTTTTAGTATTTTCTATAATTGTAAACACATTTTTTAAACTACTTATAATAGCAAATATTCCTAAATAATCAGATATCACAGGATCATAGACACCTGTATTTAAATTGAGTTCATTAATATTAGTCGGTAAATAAATTATCAAGGCAAGAGCTTGAAGTAAGTGAAACTCTTAGGGGCGCTGCTATGAAATGTTTTAGGCCATACATGGTTAAGAAGTTTCGTATATAATGTAAAATAAACCTTTTACTTACCTTGATAAACAATATTTTCAATAAACGTATCAAAATGCTGAGTATTCTTCAAATAAAATATAGTGAGAAGTAAGGCATCAGTCACAATATAATGTTGCAGAATGGGCAACCTGTGGAACGATTTCACCATAGAAATAGCACCTTTTTGTAGGCAAAAAAACTCGCTGGCTGCAAACTGCTTGAATCGCATAAAGTTGGCGATGGTTTGTATATAATCGGGAAGGTAGTCCCATTCAGTGTTGTCTTCCTTGTAGTCCTGGACAAAAGTTTTTTCGAAAACTTGCATTATGAATAAAAAAAGGTCTTTTACTTCTGTCGCATCTAAGTGCTTGTGGAAAGATTGAGAAAATTCTCGTAGACAGAAAACTGATAGACGCTTCTCTAAGGTTGAAGCTTCTTTTGTGTTCAGAACGGTTTTGCAGTAGTTAAGGAAATACTAAAATTGAATATTCAAAATTTAAGATTCGATATTTCAATTTAAGTAAATATTAACAATCATTTTGGAGTTTTTTATCATTAATGTAATAAAATTCATAAACAAGGCCATTCAAATGTAAACTTAAATGTTCAACAACACGCGATCTATTGAGACTCATTCCTTGGCCTGGGGATTCATCTTATCAGTTAGATAATGCCCTTGGTATTTATTATTTGATGTACAATTATTTAGCTTTACTTGTCTATACATACCTGTATAATTGGTATGCATGTAGCATCATTGCAGTCTTCTACACTTTTAGAAATACACTGATAAATGGCCTTTAAAGTTGTTAAACCTACTTTTTGTTCTTCAGAGCCACAAGCCAGCCATATTAGCAGATTTTCATGCCAGAACTTATAGTCTTTGAATAATTCCTCTTTGAATAAGAACGTGTTACCACCAAAAAACTTCATAGCCGCTAGAAAATAAGTACATATAAAGATTTCATTATGATTCTGAAAGATAAAACCTGTTTCTTCTTTTTGTCCTATTTAAATCTCCCATGACTTTATATGCTAATATGTGTGTATTTGATATTAGTATTAAACTTATCCATTGATTCTTGGCGAGTCTTGCCCCAAAACAATTAAGGACTCAAAAATTGGTCAAAAAAGTGTTACCTACAGTTTTTTTAATAAAAAAGGAATTTTGCTCTTTAATTGTTTCAACGGTGGCAAAATTATTAATTAAAATTACTTTTAGATAACACTTTTAACACCTCAATATTTAGCTCTTTCTGACTTCTGACAGTTATATCCTCTCAAAATTTCATGTGTGAGAAAAGATTTCATTGAATAAAGAGCTAATAGCAGCCCTAGAAACTTATTTTGACAGTCTTTATGATTCTCAATTCAAATATATAATTCATATAAGTAGTAGATTACTGGAACAAGTGTAACAAAGTTCAGTGAGATTATATTGAGCAAATTTCAAATCATGAAATCATGTTTTTCTTATTAAATGTCAAACTTTTGAACAACATACTATTTAGTGAAATTTAAAAAAGTATTTTTAAACTCTTTGACAATGTTTCAATTCTAAATAGCCCTAAATTGCTGTCTTGATTATGCTTTACTTTACACACTAAATAATCTGTTCTTTATAAATATCTAAATTAAATAATTCAACCTGCCTGACTATGTTAAATAATTCCATATTATTAGAAAATATGTTGAAATATATTGCTAGAAAAACATTACTGAAACAATTGTTCAAAGATTAGTCCAAATTCTAGCATATGCAGACGACATGAACATTATAATAAGAACCAGGGCGAGAACTGCTGAGCTAGTAGCAGCAATAGAGCGAATGGGGTTACATATAAATCAAAGTAAAACCAAATTCATGACGACTAACACAAACACAACAGCTGGAAATGTTGACGCAGATTTAATCATCAATGACCAAAACTTTGAAGCAGTCAAATAGTTCATATATCTAGGAACATATGAACCCCAATAATAACACATCTGAGGAAATAAAAAGGTGAATAATAATTGCAAACAGGTGTTATCATGGTCTATCAAAGTAGTTAGCTAATAAATGTCTGTCTCAAAAAACTTGTATAAGGCTGTATAGAACACTGATAGTTCCCATTCTCACCTATGGATCAGAGGCATGGACGCTAACTTAAACAGATGAATCAGTTCTATCAATTTTTGAAAAAAAGGTGCTATGCAAGATAGTCGTAGCGTTCTGTGAGAAAGGAACATGGAGGCGTAGATATAACTTCGAACTATCTACAAGCATACATTTGGTGGTAAAAATATTACAACTATAATTAAGCGATACTGCCTGCAGTGGGCAGGACATGTAGCCCGGGCCCCTGAATTGAACATGATAAAAAAGATTCTAGCAGTGCAACCTGTGGGAATGAGAAGACGGATTAGACCAAAGCTGAAGTGGTGGACAGGGTAACACAAGATGCCGAGAAGATCGGAGTCTGCAACTGGAAAATGCAAGCAAGGGACAGAACAGAATGGCGTAGAAAGCTTGAGAAGGTTGAGGCTCTCTAAGGGCTCTCTTATGATGATGTTGACTGAAACAATTGTAGTTTTGTTATCTAACTTTTCAAAATTTCAAAAACATTAGTAAAATAATTGCATTTATACCTCTATTGCCAGTTTTTATCCTATCTTTTAAAACCACCAGGTGTTTCAATATCCTATACATGTTAGTAACAACCCTCTTGTCTTCTGTCTTCTCTAAATTAAAAGGTGTACTTTCTAAATAATATAAAAATCCAGTAAATAAACCCTGTACAACATTATGTGATACTTTTCTGAGAATCAGTGGGCACATTTTGTCAAAGTTCAACACCATACTTTGTTTAATCTTGATTTTGGTAGAATCATCTGCTATGTATGGAAATTTTTTCACTATGTAGCCTAGTAGTTCCATTTCCTTACCCTTTACTAAAAAAATTTCACATTGTTTTATATTTACATCAGTGTGCACCATTTACTTACCTTGATCACCAGATTTTAACAATGAACAAAATAAAACAGCTTCCAAAAGCTCCTTATACACTGGTAAGACAGTGGCATCATACTCCCCGTTGTCTTTTTCCAAGTTTTTCAAAACTATATTGAACACCTTTACTTTAATAGATGAATCTGTATCTGCAGACTTAAATATTCTACAAGCTATTTTATACAGTGCAAATATGTCTTTTTCTTGAATTCTGTTATAAAAATTATTCAAAATCGTATATATAATATCGCAAGCTAATTCGCAGGCTTTCTTGAAATTTTTAATTTTTGAAGCTTCATCAATGAATTTTAGAAGCGAATTTTTTGTGTGGAAAAAGTGGGGCATACAGGAATCTACAAAAAATCGTGTAATATAAATGAAATAACTGTGTTCTGAATTTACAAACCAATCAAGGCAGAATCAATTTGTTCTTCAATTAAATTTCTGTTAAAAGCTTCCAAAAGTTTGTACGATTCCGTACTCTTAGATGTATCATTCAGGTTGTCTAATAAAACCGGAAAAAATACCCGAGGCTCAAACTCCATCATCCCATATGTTGTTTTTTCTAATAAATAAAAAAACTTTTTGGTGAAAGCAAAAAAATAAATCAACTCCCCGCTCTTAACATTTAAATTCAAAATATAACCCCAAACATTGACGTCTTCTTTTTTATGACTGTGTGTTTTACCTGATACCAGGGTTGGACTGATAATTCGTTTTATATTTCCTGACTTCTAAGGTTCACAACAAGTACCAAAGATTTTTCAAAATATGTAGAATATATATCTTAATAAAAAGAAAGTAAAAATTGTACCTAGACAATTATAATAATTAAATATATTCCTTTTGACTTATATAGAAGTTATGACCCCTGTAAATAGTGGTCTCTGTCTCTAGCGATGGTCTTTTATATAGTTGCATTTTAGACACCATTTAAACAATCAATGTCTACACAAAAACATTAGTTTTTTAACTGTACAATTTTAGCACAGTTTGTAGTTAATAGAATTAGATTAGTGAAAATAATATTACTATTCTTACAAGCTTAATAATGAGTACAATCTTTCTTTTAGCAGTATTATTTGTACAAGTTTACTGTGATACTAACTTTAATAATATCAATTTACCTGAAGAACATCTAGCCTACTACTTTCGAAACTTTCCTAAGGTAGCTGAACAATGTTCCCGAAGTAACAGTTGTTCGTTTAAGAAGTATTTAGATAAGGATGTTTGTTGGGGATATGAGTATGATTGCGACTGGAGCAAACAATATTTAAAACCATATTGTCCAGGGGATCATAAAGGTTGGGTGAAAACAAAACATGCACAAGAGACTACATTTCATGCCCAAGCCGATTTTGGCTATATTAAACAACAACTACGAGAAATGAAGTTGGTTTGTGAACCCCTTTTCCAAGATGATAGTTCTTTGGAATGTTCAGAACATCTGCGGTTCTGTAGAGGCAGAAATTTAATGATAAATTTTACAAAGTTGGCGAATAGGGAGGAACCAATTCGGTACAAAATGGATGTTCTGGGTGAAGGTGATATTGGGGGCTACTGTAATTTAAGACAAGCTTGGTTAGATGAACAAGCTGATCAGATTAGCCCTTTGCAGAGTTGGGGACCTGAGTTAAGGTATTTTAAACAGTTGGACCATAGACCAATTAACGAAGGAGACTGTGATGTAGTTATAGACAAACCAACTTTTATTTTAAAAATAGATGCAAGTAAGTAAACAAAAATTGGGATTTTAGAGGATTATTGGACGAACTTAACCTCACCTAACCAAAACTACTTTACAGAAATTGATTCTGATACCTTTTAATGTATATCTTAATCATTATTAATTATTTATGACATTACTTAGCATTAGCAACATTCTTTTTTAACTACAATTTGATTAGTATCTATATAAAATATAAATATGAAAGAATATTAAGTCCATTAATCTTACAAGAAATATTAGGATTTGATTAATATTGTACCAACAATAATCCAATTTATTTTTAGCAGTAAATATGTATCATCACTTCTGTGATTTCTTCAATTTGTATGCTTCTTTGCATTTAAATGCTACACAAGAGGATGCATTTTCTACAAACGTCCATATCTTGATATGGGAGAGCTTTACTTACAGATCAGCATTTCAGGATACTTGGGACGCATTCACAGATCATCAGTTATGGGATTTAAAAACATTCAAAGGTAAAACAGTCTGTTTTAAGAATGTTGTATTCCCTCTTCTACCAAGGATGATATATGGGTTGTATTATAACACCCCTATCATTTATGGCTGTGAAAAGAGTGGATTAGTTGATGCTTTTTCTAAGCATGTTTTACACAGGTAAATATCAATTAATAGATTAACTATATACAATCAAATAGACATTTTTTATTTAATAAGTAGTGAAAAAACACTTTAAAGTTGTTGTTCAGGTCCTGTAACTTTTATGCCACATGAAAACATTTTTCACTCACATATATTCAGTCTATGTAAATCAAAGAGGGAGCCACATTTGAAGACTAGGGAAAAGGGAAAGTATTTTAACAATTTGTACATAAAAACACTCAATTTTTTCTCATTAATGGATATTTTTTGAAGTTAGATGTCTTTTTAAAAAGTATTGTTTGTGTTCCAAAATGTTTTCTAGCTGATTTTTTAAATAGCTGGTTAAGCTAATGTCTGTAATATTCCCCAATTATTGTAGACTCTTTGGCACATAGTCAATTAAAAAAAATTCTGTGTAATTCTCAAAACATGCCGTAACTTGTTCAGTCGACAAAATTTCCTTTATAATTACCTTCTAACTCATATCCACTGCTTGGACCATTTTCATTTATACAACAAAATGCAAAGAGAAATAATCTCTTTGGCTTTTGGTTTGATCTGCAAAGGTTAATTCCAGGTATATTAATCTTACTTTTATTTCTAAGAATCATTTTAAAAATATCTATGTATATTGTCAAGTACAACCTTTAACATTCTCTTATAAATACATATCTGCACATATGCTGGTCTTTAAGCAAATTGAATTCATCCATTACTTCCATCTTTGAAGGATATTTAATGTGGATGTGGTTACTTGCCTTTTCCTTTGGGGGATAAATCGTATTTCACTTCAGTGGAAAGTAATTCTATGAAATGCTCAACCAATGTATCACCTGTGCTAACAATGTGTCTGCTAGTATCGATGCATATTTTCAGTAACGGAATCTTACCTAAGCTTGAATGGTATTTGACTACCAGTCCATTCTACTTTACACAGTTTTTACTGTATATTTAAATTTTCAGGTTAAGAATACCTGAGTACACAAGGACCAACAAAAAAATCCGAATTACATTTTTATCAAGAGAAACAAAATTTAGAAGAATATTAAATGAGAGAGAACTAGTAGATGCCTTAAAACAAAACGAAAATTATGATGTGCAGTTAGTAGTGTTTAGCAGAGAAGTGCCTTTTAAGAAGCAGTTGGAAATTGCTAGAAATTCAGATGTCTTTGTGGGTATCCATGGGGCTGGTTTGACCCATTTGCTGTTCTTGCCAGAGTGGGCCTCTGTGTTTGAGGTGTAAGTGATTATAATTTCGTATGTGTACCTTTGGTTATTAATTTGTTTTCAGATACAACTGCCAGGACAGTAATTGCTACTTTGATTTGGCCAGATTGAAAGGTGTTAAGTACTTCACTTGGGAGGATACTAGTAAATTGACCAGTATAACTGAGGTAAGATATATTTGTCCAATACATTTGAAAATGTTTGAATACTTCATAATATTCATATTTTTCCAACGAAAATCTTGCTTTGGTAAAAAAATCATATAGTTCTGTGTACAAAACATTACTTTGTTTTCAATTTAAACAATAAGTTCATTTCCAGGGTTCATATTCTGGAGGTTCGCCTGCAAAGTTTGTTAATTATAAAATGGATAAGACAGAATTTGTCAGGATTGTAAACAAAGCTGCTGAACATGTTAGAAGTCATCCAAAGTATCAAGAGCACCTTGAGAACAGGCCAACAGATGCCGAAGATCTTTCAAATGTTACAGATACTGACAAACTTCATGAAGAACTTTAACATAATGTCCACCCAGTTGTTTGACTTGTTCCTGAAGATTTTTAACCCAAGATTCTTCATTCTAATGAACCTCTTCAAGAGCAAGTTAAGTTGAAAGTTCACCATATATTTTAACTCCCCTTTCTTATCAGCTTATTCATGAAAATTTAGGTCAGCTCACTAGGCAACTTTTTTACTAAGAATTGTAACATGACATTCATCTGACAGTTGAATTTCTACATGAAGGATTTTAACCTAATTTTCGTCCTTATTATGAAGCTTGCGAAGAACGTGAAGAATTTTATCTTCAAGTTCAAGACATTAAGCAACTTGTTCAGGAATAAATAACTACCAAGCTCAGCATAGGAGTCAACTTCTTCACGACGAATTTAACTATTGCCTTAATCATCCCTTATAGCTTCTTTACTTGGCATTTTTACTTATAGTTCAGCCCACTAAACAATTTCTATATGAAGGACTTTATTTTTGTCAGAATTGCTCATTAATAGTGATATTGATTGCTGCAAAAGCATTCAAAATATATTAGATGTCCTAGCATTTTTAACGGTATTAAACGAGATGAAATAAAATTGATATATTTCAAATACGAGGGCGGTCTGATAAGTACCTACTCTACAAAAAAAAATTGAAAAAGTGGCGATTTCGCAACATAGTCCATTTTCTGCTCGGTACACTTCACTTAGCGATGCTTTAACCCGTCTGAAAAATATATTTTCTCGAAGTCTGCACAGTAGGTGTTCGCGGCGGCAATGATTACATCATTCAACTTCAATTTGCTGCCCAGTGAATGACTTTTTTAAGTTTGGAAACAAAAAGAGGTCGCACGGGGCCAAATCTGGCTAATATATTGGTTCGAGTAGCAGTTGTTAGCCCAATTGGATCAATTTGGTCCAATCATATTGCTTCCACAAGCAGTCAAAACAAAACTACGAGTCTGATTTGACTAAAATTTTGACAGTAGCTGTCTACGAGAATCTACTACAAGCTAGTAAACGCAAGTTTCTCTTGCGATAGTAGCGAAATCTACGTGGAAAGTTCTTATCGGACCGCCCTCGTACCTCGAAGTATCGTTTGGTTTATTTTGAAACGTGCCACAGTATTTTATCTCAGCGGTTTGCCATATTTTAAAAGAAATATTAACCAAGCAGTATCTTGTAAAAATGAAGGGTTTTCTTTATAAATTTACCCCAAGAAATATCGAATAATTTAGATCCACGCGAACAAGGTGTGTTAAACAAATCGGTTCTTGAACGACCAATCTGACAAAGAGTACCTCTGAAGTAGTACTTTGTTAACAATTTGTTGGTCCAATGTTTGGTTTTTATTTCTTTTTTCGTATTTTTGCCATATTTTTTAACATTCCATCACTTTGTGTAAACAAGATCTGAATTAACCCTGTAATCTCTAAAAATGTGATTAATTGACATTTTTCTTTTTGATATTTTGACGTTTTTATTTTTATATATAACAATTTTATATTTGTTAACAAAAATATAAAAATACAAAATATATAACGTTTGTTTTATTTTCCGACGTTACGAAAAAATAAGGGCGTGTTTTACCACCCCACAACACTTTTATTGGTTTAATACAAAAGGAAGTGTATGAATAGAGTTCAGATCCACGTTGGACACTAAATGTGCACCCAATCCTGGCACCGACAAAATTTTCAATTTCTAATTTAACTGAGCTGTCACCGTTATTCGGAGGGCACGTAAATCCGTTGCTCCCGACTACGAAAGTAGTCATTAAGTCATGTTAAGGGCGCTTGCTAGAAGCTAGAAGGTTACACGAACTTTTTTTACTAAATGTGCATCTATTCTGGATGGACAAAATGCCAAACAGCCATTGAACTCGATTGTTTCATTGGTAGGCGTGTTCTTCTAGGTTGTTTCATAAAAACATTACGATTATGCTCTTATCCGGAAAATCGGAGGAAGAAATTGGAAGAGCTCTATTGATGATCAATTCTGAGACGTATTGCTGATAAAAACGCTGCGTTAGAATTGTTATGTTACCTTTTACATCAATACAAAACAATCTATAGTAATAATAGACCATACTTATAAAGGACGTTTCATAAGCAAGATACAAAACTAAAAAGATACCAATTGGTTAAAATTGATATATCGATAAGTATCCTTCTCTCGACTGGACTGTATTAAACGGTTCATCTCCACGTTGGACGCCCTTGTAACGTGATAGTTACATGTAACTGCAAAGTTATACTTCTTATTTTAGGACAAAATATCAAACAGGCTAAGAATTAGTTACTTTGTGGCGGGTTGACTGGTATAAGAACGATGCAGATCCGATAATAAATACAGGAGTGATACGTCTTTATGAATCTGCCTCCTCACTAATTTGGTGCAATAAGGGTGCAGCTCCGGACCTGCATCCTTTTTGCACCAAGCAATTGTGAATGTTCGGTGATTTTCGTGGAATGGAAGGTCATCTTCTGTTGGCGCTGGGCCGACAGGTCAGCTGATTTGTTTTAACTTGTTAGTCGCTATCATTAAATCATTATATCACTCATGGTGTAAAAATCAGTGAAACCAAGTCAGATCCGTTTAGTGCTAGTGAGTCAGACTATGAACCTACAAGCTCTGATGAAAGTTGTTTTAATAGTGATGTCGCAGGACCTTCAGCTAGGAGGAAGCATCCAAAGAAGAAACACACCTCTGTAAAAAAACACATTGAACCTGTTGTTAAGATGGAGCCCACTGAAGAGCCCAGTTGTTCCTGTAACTAAAAATAGAAAAAGTGCCAACCCCACTCTCTGGAAAAGAAATATGAAAAAAAAGCTATTGCAGAAGGGAAAATGTATACGAACTGTAAAGCTGGATTTATAGTTTGACGGACTGTAGACGCAGACGCACTGGAAAAAGATCAACATAGACTTTTGTGTACTCCTATTTATAAATGAACGTAAACGCAAGACGGGACTTAAGCGAAACGCACTGTAACGGAAGAGTTGGTCAACTTTCAACTTTTACAGTGCGTTTCTTATGTCTGACCAATCAAAAGAAAGAATGGGTTATGTTCATTGCACCAATATTGAAATATGCCAAAAATTGATCTGGATCTTCTGTCTTCATCTTTAAAAAATAATTATAAGCATTCTCTATTTTTCTATTACGGTTTATTGGTCTTGTTTTATAACGCCTTGGTCGCCTTATTATTGTCCTTCTAGTTTTTTGCGATGCTACTGCACACAGCACAGCAGCAATCCTATGGATAAAAGGATAAAAAAAATATTATAATAAACAATAGTATAAACACACACCCTTTGTTTATTATGAATTCTGATTCCTATAATTGTATAATTTATAGGTTATATTGAATGTTGTGGGTCGCCAATTCTTGTCTTTACTCACGCGCAAAAATTCCACTACGTCCATTTATAAATTGAAAAAATATTTACAGTCCGTTTCTTACGTCTCCAGTGCGTCTACGTCTACAGTACGTCAAACTATAAATCCAGCTTAAATGAATACAGAAGAGACCGAGATTAACTGGATCGAACTGCAATTGCAGGTACAAGTGTTTTCATAATGTGAACGAAGAAACAAAAAAAGTTGTCTTACAAAAGTTTAACAAAATAGGCGACAAAGATTTGCAAAATGACTATTTGGGATGATTGATTCAAACTCAAAGAACTCGAAAAAAGACTAATGAAAGGCAAGACCGCACTTGTTCCCATAAATACTTTATAAAGCTGGGTTATCTATCCAAACGAGTTTGTAGACATGTTTGGTTCAATCCACGGCATATCAAAGAAACGTGTAGATCTCATTGCTCAAACTTTTCGTGACATATATATTGCAGCGTCACCTAGTAACAAAAGAAAACATACAAATAGACCCAACCGAAAATCTAACGAAACATTCAAAAATATTAACGTGGACATCCAGAGCTTTCAACCAATTGGACAACCAATCCCGTCGATTCTATTTATCTCCAAATCTAAATTTAAAGAAGATGTATCAACTCTATTTGGAACTTTACGAACCAGAAAGTGTTAGCAATCCTAAATATAAATCCAAAATTCCCTATGACTTCTACTATCGATACTTCAACTACAGGTTTGGCTCACCTCGATCAGATACGTGTAAAATATGTAATGTCTTAGATAACAAACTCCAAAGATGTAACCCTCAACGAAAATGAACGAAAAGTTTTAGCAGCGGAAAAGACGTTGCATGAAATTAAGGCCGATTTGTTTTTCAAGGAGCTGAAGGATAGCGACGAAATGGAGGATCTGACCTTTGATTTCCAACAACACCTTCCACTTCCAAAAACTCCTGCTGGTGAAGGTTTCTACAAACGCCAGTTGTGGACATACAACTTCTGCGTCTATTCTGGTACGACAAATCAAGCACACTTTTTTATTTATGATGAAACTACGGCTCGAAAGTCACCAAACGAGGTGGTATCATTTTTGTACCACTATAAAAATTATACCCCCTAAAAATGTTACAAGTTTTAAACCTGTTCTCCGATAACGCTGCTGTACAAAACAAAAACTCAGTAATGTTTCAGTTCCGTATTTGCTGGTGAGAACTAGATCTATTGACAAGATAGAGCACCGCCTTCCTGAGCCGGGGCATATCTTTCTTTCCTGTGTCACTGCTTCATAGAAGAAGGACTACGTTTTTAGCCCCCAACAATATGCTGATTTTGTTAAACAATCATCCAGACAGTTTATTTCCATTCTGGTAAAACAAAATATGATCCTGAACTTTAGTGGTCACTATGAAGGACATTTTAAACAAGGTATCTTAGATGCAGAAAAGCAAAGATTCCAGATTTTCCAGTACAGCAATGAACATTTAGATGATATTAAAGTCAGTATATCTACTGGCCCTCCGAGTTTTCACTTATTCCAAATCTTGAGAAACCTTGACAGCGACACCTCAGTTTCTTCTGATATTCCTGTCTATTGCAATCGTATACCTGTCAAAAAAGTCAAATATGCAGTTGTCAGCACGATTCGTTCCTCTATGGACCAAATGGCTGTTCACACCTGTCTCACAAGTGATGCAGCCATTGCAGAGAACCAGAAAACCGAATCATCTGGAACGGATGACGACGACCAGGTAGATGAATGAAGGATGTGTTTGGCCGTGTGTTTGATGTTTTGTATGAAATCTATTTTTTTGACAACAACCGGTTTCTTTTTATAGATTTTTTCGTATTTATGTAGTAGGCAAACCA